TAGCGGACATTTAAAAATGGCGGCTCCCGGCTTATGCAAATGAAGCCCGGGAAATTCAAATCCCGGGCTTCATTTGCAAGTGCGGTATGCCTACATTACCCTGCTAGTTCGAACTAGCGGGGTAGTGTAGACATACCCTAAGGGAATTGCTTGTGTGACCTCTTCTTAACCAGTGAGATGAACAGAAGTGCTCTTTGATAACTGTTTTGGGGTTCCTTAGAGTAGAAGACCCAGAGTCTTGGGGTAGCCCCATCACTAAACAATTCTCCTTGATTTGATCCTCTCAGCAGTGCCCCCAGAAATCTCCTTTATTACAATGGGTCATTGAGTCCCTTGTTTAGAGCTTTAATTGGTAGCAAAGACCTTCTCAAGGTGAGAAGCCAGATTGAAGACAATATGGAGAGAGCCCAGGGCTCTTTACGCCCTCAGCCAAGTGGAGGGAATCCCATAGCTCTCGCTGTGGAAAAGTACCTCCCAAGATGGAGGTTGGAATCATGTGGGCAAGTCGTGTCCATACATAACTCAGTTATTTGCAGGCTCCCGTGCTGGTCTGAACGATCACAGAAAAGCTCCTCAGATGTGGATTGGCACCTCCCAAGGCCCATTGTTAGTCAAGTTCTGCTATTCAACCCAAATATCCCTTCACAATAGGCTGGCCCAGCAATACAAGCACGTCGCCAATACTCATAACTTCCAATACAGCGCTCCATGCATACGAATGGCACGGTCATAGCCAGCGAACCATACGCTTTCCATGGACACCTCACTTGGGCCACTTTGGATGAGATTTGTTGCAAACAGAACAGTGGTCACAACAGTGATCTATATGGTCATATTTTAATCAGAGAAGGCCACAGCTTAGTCTGCCTGGTCTGTCTCCACCTGTTGTGTGACCCATGGAGGCAAAGGAGTTGGTTTACCTCCCAAGGTGCCCATGGGCACTTGGAGGACTGAATGTTGCCTCCATTGGCCTCCTCTCCATGGGCATGTGTGGCACAGATCCTGGGGGGGGGCAGGGTTCATTGGTGGATATGCCAAAGATATGCCCCGCCCCGAGCCACCTCGCAGGGAACTTTCCTTGGCTTGGGTTCCACTGCAGGCCGATATCCCACTTCTCACACCAACTGCATCCCACCATGCCTTGTCCCAAGCATGCCCTCGCTCCACACCACTGCCTCTGGCTCACCAGCGCTGCCCTTTTGCCTCCTCAGAGCTTTCTGTTGGGGCCTCGACTACCAGCTGCTTCTTCTAACTCATTTTCCAGGGCCTGCAAAACCCCTCCTTGATCAATGCTGGCTGGCTTTGCAAAGTTCAGCCCCCTACAGTTAAGAAGGGGAGGCCAGGGTACAGCTGCCAGCCTGGGGTCCTTGGCTCCATGGCTCCACCAAGCAGCTGCTGTTCTCCTGGTCTCCAGCTGGGTCTTGCTCTTCCTTCAGGATCAGTCCTCCAGTTTCACTGCCTCCATGTCTGAGCCTCCGGCTCCCAGCCCTCTGCATGCTCTGCCCCACGAGTCCCCTGTACTGGAGCCCACTGCAGAATGACCTGTGATTCGCTACCCTGCGTCAGACAGATTTTTGTGTGTGGACAGAAGCGGGGCGGAGGCGGGTTCCTGGATCTCAAACCGGAGTGGATGCCAAGGCTTGGAATACCACATAGGCAGTCCCAGAGATCTCACCTCTTAACCCTGATCTCTTGGCAGCAGGTGGCTTGGTGGGGTGGTCGCCCCTAGTTTCTTGCAGCTCCTCCACATCCCACTGGACACTCAGGACACAGCAAGGCAAAGCCCAGAGGGAATCGGAGGCAGACATACCAATGTCTCCACATTCCCAGCCTCCTCACATTGGTCCTTTCCCCATAAGGAATGACATTGACGAGGGTGGGAGGAACAGTAGGAGGGGCAGCGTGTGGCAGGCAGGGGCTATCCCGACTCCAAGCAATGGGTGCGGGGGGGCAGAGATCCCATGCCAGGGCCTCTCCACATTAGCTTTCCTTTTCAATTAAGTGCATGCACCCCATTGACCTTTGAGCTGGAGCTGCTGTTATCAGGGAGCCAGTGCTGATATGGGGCCTTATCAGCCAGCTGGGGAGGATGGTTATGCGCTTGCCTAGGAGGGGTCTGGGGAACTGCCTGACACTGGATAGGACTGAATGGGGGAGAGTTGTGGGCTGTAGGTTTTGACATGTATACTCCCCACTTCAGGTTCTCTGCCCCGGGCTCTCGGCCATCCGCGCTGGGGGGAAAGGCTGCTGTGGAGTTGGATGCTGCGGGAACCGGTGCCGGGTACGGACCCCACCCCAATCCTTCTTCCTAGGGGTAGGGATAGGGAAACTGGGGAAACAGCAGGAGGGCAGCTGGGGCTGCAGCATGAGGTATGGGAGGGGCTCTGGGGTGAGGAGGGCAGTTGGGGGACAGGCATCTGTGCCCTGAGCTCACCTCACCCTGTTTCCCCCCCAGATGCTGCGCTCTGTGTTCTGCTCGCTTTGGGGTGCCCTAGGGGCATTTTACTGCCTGGTTGTGTCCGCGACTGGCTTGGCCAAGGGGCCAAGCTGTGAGAACGCTGAGGGTATATGGAAGTCACACTTCGAGGACAGCAGGTATGCCCCACCCCCATAATAACTTAGGGTATGTCTACACTACCACCCTAGTTCGAACTAGGCTGGTAGTGTAGACATACCCTTAGGGAGTCCC